TTTTTGCTTAGTTCTACAGGAAGTTTCGGTTTTTCAAGAGAAGTCAGTTAAGTGGAATTCAAGAGTCAGCTTATGAATTCTCCTTCAATCGCATAGCGTTCTTTTTAAATGAAAGAAAACCTCGTTTCATTTACGTCTGTGTGTTTCATTTAAGTTGCAAGTGTAAGCAACTCCGTATATCTCTCCAGAGAGTTGTACTTAAGGTCAAAGCAGGGAGAAACGTGGCCTCCACTTTCAAAAGACTTTGGTTTGTTTTTGGCTTCGTGGAAGGCGACAGTTGTTTTGAAAACATGATTAAAAGGTCATTGTTTCTAATTATGTTTGAGTTGTTTTGTTGTCGCTCGAGTACAATATCACGCAAAGCCTCGCTTTCCACGCTGAATACTTCGCCTAAGTAACCAATCAGGGTGCGAGAATTTTCTGAACAATGCGATTCTATAGGCAAATTCAGATTACCTGACGAGGGAATTCCACGTTAAATTTCACGCAAAAACCGATATCGCGCGAATTGCGAAGCGATGAGTACGTTATCGGTTTTTCAAGTGAAATTTAACGTGGAATTCTCGAGTATCCTTGTATCCTTCTATCCCGGCCAGTATAACATCCTTGATGACTTTTGTTAGTCGAGTGCTTGAGTTGTTGATCATCTTGGTTACTAGATTAAAAATAAAAAGATAAAAAGCGTTTGTACAAAGACGGCGTGTTAATTTTATCCGTTTTGGATAAAACGGACCAGCATCTTTGCTCGTTCTAATGTGGACGATGGAGGAAAAGGCATCAAAAAGAGAGGTTTTTAACGCATTTGTGCGGACGGGACCTTAGTATCCCGTATTACCTGATTATGGTAATGCTACTGTGTTTCTTTACTCGCCCAATCATGAGAAACGCTTGAACTATTCTTGTCTCTACTAGNGGACGATCTGGTAACGAGCACTGTGGAATGTGCGGGGTCTGGTACCGTCGCCATATACAAAACAGGGACACGTGACCTTGACGTAGAAAAGCAAGCACACCGTGGTGAAAATTCCCAATACGGTTGACACCGATGCCACTTCCACCAAAAACTGCGTGAAATCGGTGAAATTGTATCCTTCTATCCCGGCCAGTATAACATCCTTGATGACTTTTGTCAGTCGAGTGCTTGAGTTGTTGATCATCTTGGTTACTAGATTAAAAATAAAAAGATAAAAAGCGTTTGTACAAAGACGGCGTGTTAATTTTATCCGTTTTGGATAAAAGGGACCAGCATCTTTGCTCGTTCTAGTGTGGACGATGGAGGAAAAGGCATCAAAAAGTGGAGGTTTTTAAACGCACTAATGTGTACGGAACCTTAGCATCCCGTATTACCTGATTATGGTAATGCTGCTGTGTTTCTTTACCCGCACAATCATGAGAAACGCTTGGACTATTCTTGTCTCTACCAGAACATTCCGTGTAACAAAGAATTAAACACAAATCAGTTGACCAAATAATATATTCTTTGAACAGAACGTTTTGTTATGGTCCTTAGGGTAGTTTTATTCATCCTGGTTGCTGTTCACCTCGCTATTTTTTTCCCGTCGGATTTTCGATACGTTATCTTTCATAGAAATTCGAGTCCTTGGTCTCAAGCAATTCCGTAAAACTTCTTAAATAGGATCACCCTTGGCCATACAAATGTGTCCGCTTAAAGGAGTGGTCATATTAAAGATGTTCTCCAAATAATAAATGTTGAATAACTAAACAATTTTTGGGGGATAAAAATCTGGCCGAAATAAATAAGGTGGTGGTTTGAAAACGGTGTGATTGTAAGGTGAGATGTTACTGTTTTAATAAAGGCTTGATGTTTAGTTATCCTAATTTCTAGGTTTCGTTTCGAGTCGGCTGTCAGCATATGGACGAAAAACTCTTTTGTTAGGTCTTCCTTTGCGTGAATTTTTATTTGAAAAGAAACCAGTTTGTCGTTAAGTTCTCAAAAATCAATTGCTCGAACTTCAACGAAGACGGTAAATAATTTTAAAACAATCAGTTGAAAATATGCTTTGATTTTGTTATTTTTATT